ACTCTAATATGAACTATGAAGATATACTACAGAAAATCGGACTTGCTACTTTCGATGAAAGAAGGAAAAGCGACGACATTATTGTTGTATGATTATATTACAGAATTAGTGAAAAATTAGATAAATAAGACAGATAAAAGTTAGATAAATAAGATTTATTTATCAGTCTGTTTGTGTCTCTGTCCTTCTCTTTCTCCCTCCCTCCCTCAGAAATGCGTAAAAGGTTCCCTGTAAGATGACAGGTATATGGTATACCTTTTCCGTAGAACTGTTCTAACAAGTGTAAAGTGTCCAAGTAATACTTCTCATATTCAATGTATTTTTTTCTCTCAAGTATAGATTCATAACAGTGCAAAATATATTTTGTTCATATTAGCTATTTAGTCATTCTTTAACATTGTACATTCACATTGGATTTTAAGTACAAATTTTAGGGTATTCATTTATTGAAAATTTTCAAAACATAGGCATATGGTAGGGCTTGGGGGCAAAGCCCCCAGGTAATGTGTTTTGGTTCAGTAAGGGAGAGTTTGTGGACTTCCAGAATGGTCAATGGTCAAAACAAACAATGTACCAGGCATCAAAGGTTACACAGCATTATGGTGAAGTATTGTAGTGAAAGGGGTAAATATGAGTTAGCGATTTGTATAAGTGGACAGACAAGGGGATGAAGGAAGAGGAAAAGGAAAGAGGGAGAAGAAAAGACGCTGCAAAATTAGTTGAGGGAAGGGCCAAGGTCCAAGGTGATTCCTACATTGGACCTCAGTCTCCGCCTCCTAAGTTCCCCACAAGAAGAAGCAAGGGATTGGAGGGACTTTCAGGGTAGATGCAGTCTCATTCTTAAAAAGAGGAATAAAGTTACGAGTAATTCTACTTAAAATGTATTATGTAAACTTCAGATACACATTGATCACCCTTAACCCTATATGCAGAGGTGGCATAACATACATGCCATATCCACTGTGATATAACTTTTCTGATTGTTTGTACAGATAGCGAGACTTAATCACCAAGGATTTATTTATTATTGAAATTTTTCTGCTGCCTCAATATCTAAGGTCATTAGCGGCATATGCAAACTAACGTGTTAGGGTGAGGCTTGGGGGCAAAGCCCTCGGGTAAGAAAGTTTTTTAGCTCAGTAAGGCAATGTTTGTGGATTTCCAGAATGGTCAATGGTCAAAACAAACTTATGTACCAGGCATCACACAGCAATATGGTAAAGTATTGTGGTAAAATGGGTAAATATGAGTTCATGATTTGGATAAGTGGACAGAGGAAGGGGATGAAGAAGAGTAGGAAAAGGAAAGAGGGAGAAGAAAAGACCTTGCAAAATTAGTTGATGCAAGGGCAGAGGTCCAAGGCAGAAGTGATTCCCTACATTGGGCCTCAATCCCTGTCTCCTAAGCCCCCCACGGCAACAACAATCAAGGGATTGGGCAGAATCACCCAAAAAAGTCCTTTCCTATTCTTACCTTTATGTTGCGTGCTTGTCCTGTTTCTTGAATTTTGGATGTTTTATATTCTGTTGCTAATGTATCTTTATAATAATATTTATAATGTTAATAGTAATAACAGTATTGTTTACAAAAGCCTAGAAAAAAAGTGAGGTCCTTGGTGGTAGAGCCATCTGTGATAAAATTCAGTGGACAATATATATACATATACAAAGGGTTAAAAAATATATTATCTCAGATCTGCCCTAAATTTCATACAGAAAGGCTAAGCTAGTCCTAAGGGAATAAAAACAGGCTACAAGACAATATCTTTTGCAAACAGATAGTTAACAAAAGAGGTCAAATTCTCTAGTCTTTTCTGAATTCTAATTTGATTATGCTGATTCTAAAAAAAATATAAGCAAAACTAAGAAAAGAGAATGTTGTGCTTCAGCTTTTTACTTTTTCTACGTAAGTTTAAAATATTTCAGCTCCCTGAAGATTATATTGCCAGGCTTTTTCTATTTTTATTTTTCTTAGTTCTGGATTATATGGTTCATTTTTCAATATTCATCTCTTGATAAAGAACTCTGAATGCCCGAAAGATAACATCATTCACCAAAGAATTTAGAGCTAACAGTACAACCCAGTTCTGGATTACTAAAACTGTGTACTATACTTGAAGAGTGTTCTTACACTATAGGAGGAAAATCCAGTTTAGTTATTGAACCTAAAAATATTTAAACAAATACTCCCTTAGAGGTGAAAATAATACATCAGAATATTTTTTTTTCTTTTTAATTCTTTCATATATATATCATTTGATTTTTTCACTGATAAAAAATATATAAACATTACAAAAACTATCCCAGTGTATACTGTGTAACATAATACACAGATGGGTTAATATTTAATTGCTGCATATATAATCAAATATGCATCATAACAAACAAAAATTATTGAGAAGTTGCCTACATCACATTTTTCTCAGATACATTGTCACGTATTTTAATGTTGAATCTCAATGATACTATTTGGAAATTAGGATTCTATGCATACTCTTGGATAATAGGACTGACAGTATTTTATTACTGTATCTCAGGGATTGGAAATTCTCTCATGAAAACATAATAATACTGGATAAAACTAATACTTAACTTTTCTCAATTACATATATCAACTCATGTAAACATGAAAGAAATTACATGAATTTGTTTTACTCAAGAGTGCATTGAATAAAATTTCATCAAGTGCAGAAGCAGATTTCAAAACCTCAGAGCATATGAAAATAAAAGCAGTGAAAATCTTGAAGCTATAGAAATAGATCTATTCTTAGAAATTGGTTAAAGGCTTTAAATAATAGAATAATGAAACTAGTTCTCCCTTTGAATAGTTCACTGGATCTTAATATGACACTTTAACAGAGAGGCTCTCAGAAAATTTTGCAAGGAAGTTAGTAATGATAAAACCTGATGAAAGCAAACAGATCTGGAAAGGTTATAAACATCTCTTCTTATTATGCAATATTTCCATAATGGATTAAGTTCTAATTGCCTTCATCACTGCATGCACACTATATCATATGGTATATGTTTGGGTTATACAGCATCATGAAAAATATCAATGTTCACCTTGAGTTTTTGTATAAAATAAGCAAACCCTTAGTAGAAATGAAGCTTGATTTCAATATGTTCAATACAGAAAATATCCCTTAAATTATACAGAACACCAAGAAAACATACTGACAACAATATGGCTGTAAGATACTGGGTATCAGGGTGAGACACTAATGGAAAAAGGAAATGTCTCAATAATCATACAAAGAACATTACCAAGAGAAAAATGGCATGTTTGTTTGAATATGAGATACTCCAGAAGTTATATTATGGTTTGGATTTTATACCTAATGTACAAGATGAGCCCCAGTTTTGGGGATTTTTTTTATGACAGAATTGTGTTCTGCACTGAGATAAATGGAATAATTTAGTAACATATGACACTTTAATTGATTATCAAACACACAAAAAAATCTCACACAACCACAATGTACTTTTGAAAAATTCATGCCAAGATGTATAGTGATGAATGCCTTAAAGCACTGTTTATATATCTAATTCCTCAAGTGTTTCTGAATTTGGCAGCTCTGGGTCCTTTGTACTTTATAAAAGCAACAAGGTTGTCTCTCACTGTCAGCACCAAAGCTCTGTGGTCTCCAAGCTTCTTCTTTTGCTGCTGGTGCTGAAATACAAAAATTACATTTTTATGTTTTTCCCCTAAATATGCAACATATTAAACAAAGTATTCATAATTTAACCCATTCGCGCCGGGTAAAAATGAACAAAAAATGGGGGAAATGCTGTGCTCATTTTTTATATTTTTTAATGAAATTACTCTACACTAGATGGCTCTGCTTTACCTGATTTCATTCGGCGGGAAAATGTATTTTTACTAGTGCTATGAATATCGATGGTTATCTTTATTATAAACATCATAATTACTATAATGTTATAAACATTAGTAACAGCAAAATAAGATAACGCAAAATAATTTCGTAAATTAAAGAAAAGGGTAAACAGATGAGACAGGCAGTACAAGTGCAAGTGGAGCCATCTATGTTTGTAAACAATCAAACAAGTAAACTCACAGTGGGCCTGTCACCTATACGTGACGCCCGGCGCGAATGGGTTAAAGAATAGTCTCCTTCCATAGGTAGTCTTACTTTGGGAATAAATGAACAACTATATTGAGTTATAAATTCACCAATATATTTTCAAGGCCTGCTCAGAAATACATATTCTTTGCATTTTCAGACATCAACAACACAAAATGACACTTACCCTAGACTTAAATTGCGGTTGGATTTCTTTTAATGTGTCTACCAAGTGTACTTGGTGAGCCAACTTATCAGTTTTGTCATCCGAATACAAATCTATAATCACATCAAGTGCTTCTGCTGATACCCAGAGTTCCTTATCATGACCTGCTACCTGTAAGAAAACAATGGATTTTGAATGGAAGGCTTTTCCCAGTGTCTATTCTGATGACATAGGATTGGGATCTGATTTTGGTGTATCAAGGAAAACAGAGCAGATACAGGAAGAAGGTACAAGCCAAGGCAGGTTTTTATGGGCAGGAAAGAGTGAATGGGAGAGAAGTGCATCCATGTGGACAAAGAAAGAAGTAGGTAGGTGTGGAGAGGAGATAATGGTAGGAAGAAGGGAGTGAGGGACAGCTAGCTTAGTGAAAATTAAAGAAAATGTGCATAGCTCCAGAGGGAGAGAAGGGAATGGCATCTAGAGGGAATGCTCCTAGGGCTAGACATAGACTACAGAGATAAATAGCATCAAGGTGAGGAAGAAGACATGTAGAAGCAGGATAATACATATGGCATCCACAGTCAAGAGTGGAGAGGATTAGGGTAGTATAAAGATGGAGAGTTTTGCAGTCTGAACCTTAGGATATATAGAAAGAGTGTAGGAGATGGAGGTGGTGGTGTTTTTTTTTTTCTTTGATGATCTCACCAGGAAAGTTTGGAGTCAAAAATGACACCAAGGAATTTTCCTGAGGCACGTGAGTGGAGTGGAGTATCATATAGAGTGGAGGTTAAGGACCTATACGTGATCAAGAAAAAAACATGGAGGAGGATTTGGCGAGATTAAAGATACTGCAGACTGATTAGTTGACAGAGAACTTGTATGGAAGGGCTCAAGGCATAGATGGTAAAATCATTTACATACAGGGAGGATTGAATACCTGGTGGTGGTTATCTAAATTAAGATGTTAATAGCTAAAAGGAACAATGTGGTTCTGAGCACACTGCCTTGTGGGATACCTTCAAATTGAGGAAGAGATGATAAAGTTGAAGGGGCAAAATTTAACTCAGAAGGTAGGATTGGAAAGGAAAGATTTAACCCAATGGTGACGGGTGAAGAAAACTTTGAGCGCTGGAGTTTGGTACATCAGGCCGAATCACCAGCTTACCATGCTTTGGTGCACCGCCGCGGCGTACAGCCGCACGCCACACTTTGAGTGGTTTGTTTTCATGCCTATAGGTGTGACCCGTCGTGAAGGGGTTGGAGTGAGACACTTAGCTAGATGTCATGGACTCCTGCAGCCAGTGTGTGGCTGTTGCCAGAAATCACCACAGCTTATCACACTGAGGGATTTCTGTTCACCCAGTGGTGATGGGTTGATGAACACACCCATGTTCCCTCCTATCCCATGAGATGATAGTTGATGAAGAATGTGGTATTGCCATAAATAATCTTATGCCTTTTCTTGGTAAAAGGAAATGGTTATAGCATGCAAAGGAAGACTTGATGTAATTTTCAAAATGTGCAAGTGGGTTAACTGTGCTTCAAGCACGATGGAATCCAAATTAAAAAGAATAGAGAAGGCTGTGGGATTTAAGTGTATTAAGTGTAGATTTACCATTTTGTCTAGCAATTTGCATAAATAGTTAGTCAGAGCAATGAGACAGCAGTTTTTAGAGAGGATGTCAGATTTATTAGGTTTAAGGAAAGGGAGGATAAATGATTCAAGTCAGTGAGAAGGAAAGTTTTCAGTAGTCCAAAAATTATTGAAAAGGGCAGGATGAGGGGGATGTTTCCCTGATAATTTATGGATTCTATGGCAGACTGTAGAAACAGGTATCAAAGAGGTAACTGAAGAAACATAATTTTGCCAGCTGGTTTTATCAGCGTTTTGGATTGCGCTGTGTAGTTGAGCAGATGCTCTTTTAACACATTTCTGCTGGACCATGCCTTGCGGTGTCATAACAAACCGCTCGATCTGCGGGATGGGGCTGTACGCCACAGCGATGCGCCAAAGTGCTATGAGCCAGATGTTTGGCTTGACGTAGCAAACTCAGCCTGTTGCCATTAATCTCCAGAGCATAGAGTTTTATTTATTTTCTTCACTCAGCAGAAACAGGTTAATATTGATTAGGGCTGATGACTGGCTGGGAGTGTTTCACATACTGCACGCTTCAATTAAAGCTTGAGGAATGGCTGTAAAGGCAGCACTAAGAGCATAGATGATGAAGGAAGAGGAAGAGTAGGGAGAGAGTGGTAAAATTATGCCAGCATGGGGGTTGGGGAGTGGTACATAGGAAATAGGAGAGAATAGGAGAGTGATCACTATAAGGAAGGTGATCCAGAACTGACCTATGAAAGTCTAGATGAAGGGAAGGAGAGTAAAGAGAAAGGTAAAGGCATGAAAAGGCTTGGGTACACATGTCAAAGTGGGTGGGGCATTCTGAAATAAGGAAGGGCTCAGGAAGTAGCGGTGGAGTCATCCCAAAGATTATTTTGACAGTTGAAATCACCAACTATCAGGAATAGTGGTTGAAGTTGGGAAAGTAAAGTTTCAAAGGCCATAAAGTCAATGGGAAGAGAAAGGGAAAAGTAAATTGAAACTATTGTGATCCAGTAGTGAAGAAAGATGTGAATAACTGTGCAGGGGAAAGTAGTTTGAAAGGGAGGTATAGTGTATTATGTTTTTTGATGGACGAGTATAGAAGAGATAGAAAGAGTAAGGGGATGATACAAAATTATTATTTAGAATTTGTACTAGAGGAAGTGTTAGAAAATTTTCTTGGAGACAGATAATGTAGGAAGACAAGAGGTGACGAAGACTAGGTCTGTGAAAATGAAACCTAGAATATGCCACCGTAGATGACCATTTTGAAGCAATTAATGGGTAATAAGGGAAGAAATGGATGTCAGAGAAGTTGGAGGAGTAGTACCTAGGAATTGAGGTAGGGGATAGGGGGAAGGCAGTGTAGTATCAAGAGGTTCATCGAAGGTGGGATCTGGGGAAGGACATTATTAATATGGGACCTATGGTGGCCTCTGGGAGGAATAGTGTAGCACTGTATTGCTACTGCATCACAGTCAATGAAGCAGGCAAGTAGGTCGTGTTCACATTGGACCAAACCTTGTTGTCGACAGGGCAATCACCCAGGGAGGTGGAAACAGTTCCAGTACAAGAATAATGGAAGGAGTGGAGTTAAGCAGGAATAGGCTTACCAGCAACAAAGGGTAGATAGTGCATAGGCTTGGGACTCAGTTGTAACTGTGACAAGCGACTGCTGCAGAAGGAATCCTTGCCTACTTGTTTTAGGAAGCATTATTGAAAGAGGAGGGTAATGTCAGAATAAGGGGCCACTGAGGAATCACCTTACTAGGATTAACAGTAGTCAAAAGATTTGTAGAGGTAGGAATTGTAGAGGGATGAGGATGGGAGGAAGAGAGTGGTGTGGAGTAAGGAGGGCAATAAGGTTTAAGAATTGAAGAGGGAGGAGGTACAGAATGAAGATAATTGTGGTAGAGACTGGGTGGAGGCTATTGGGAGTAAGGAAGGGGTGCCTTTAGAGGGCTGAATTATAACCTGGGTAGATGTTTCAGGATGGGTCAAGTTGTCAGCAAATTTCAAGGAAAGGGGTGGAGCTGCAATGGTCAGAGCCATGATCAAAGGAGATTCGGGTTGGTAAACCAGAGGAGTTAGATTCATGGAGGCCATGAAATATGTGGGGAAGACAGAAGGTATAGCCCTCGGGGTCCCCATGAGGGATAAGGGCTAGACAATACCGTGCCCAAGGCTCCATCTAAGGCCATTCATGACTGGCTCAAAGTCAGCCTTTCATCCTTTCAACACAGCTCTCACACCTTAGGAATTGGACAGGGTAAGGGGTTGGGGACAACAAGGAAAAGGAAAGGGAGAGAAGACTAAACAAAATTAGTTAAGCTGAGGGCTGAGATCCAAGGTAAGGGTTATCCCTACATTGGAGCTCTCCTAAGTCTGTCTCCTAAGGCCCCCCCCATGACAATAACTGCTTAGGGATTGGGGGGATCACTCATTAGAGGTCTTCTGCTAAGAGATATCTGACACTATAATCACAAGACATAATTGAATTAATACTTGTTTGCAATATGGATATCATATACTGCAGAAACAGCTACTTTAATGTAATTAATTGATTTACTAGCACTAATCACTGTCTAAATATTCTCAGGTATCAAGGTATATGAAAAAACAATATTACATTGTATGGAAGACTCCAGATATTTTGTTAGCTAACACTTTTCATATACAAACACAGCCTTGAATGCCAAAACGAAAGAAATTTTTGTGTGCAACAAATATTAATCTATTTATTTGCAAAGTAAGAACTACTTACCCTAAGCAAATACTCTGTTGCTGCTACCAGAACAGGTTGTGCAGTTCCAGAGTACAAAGCAGTTTCATTGTTCTGTGTGACCATGAGACAACCAAGCATCCCTACCATGCGAGCTAGGTTTGCTCGCACACTAGCCATCGGGCATGATACACCTGCCTCAAAGATTAGCTGTAAAAAAAGGAAACTGATTTTAAAACCCTTTTATTACTCGTAAATATTTATGAGGATTTTTTTTTTTTTTTTAATGCATGCCCTTTGCTGGTAATATAATGATTAAACTTGGTGTTGCTCTATGAAAAAAAAAAAAAAATAATAATAATAATAAAGAAAGGAAGAAAAAACATGCATAACCATAAAAAACTGCATAACTTCATCTCAAAGTACCAAATATATATATAACTTGAGAGAGAGAGAGAGAGAGAGAGAGAGAGAGAGAGAGAGAGAGAGAGAGAGAGAGAGAGAGAGAGAGAGAGAGAGAGAGAGAGAGAGAGAGAGAGAGAGAGAGAGGTGTGTGTGTGTGTGTGTGTGTGTGTGTGTGTGTGTGTGTGTGTGTGTGTGTGTGTGTGTGTGTGTGTGTGTGTGTGTGTGTGTGTGTGTGTGTTTTGTGTGTGTTTTTGTGTGTGGTGTGTTTTTGTGTGTGTTTTTGTGTGTGTGTTTGTGTGTGTGTTTGTGTGTGTGTTTGTGTGTGTGTTTGTGTGTGTGTTTGTGTGTGTGTTTGTGTGTGTGTTTGTGTGTGTGTTTGTGTGTGTGTTTGTGTGTGTGTTTGTGTGTGTGTTTGTGTGTGTGCTTTGGCTTTTGTATGCAGTCTTCATATAATTTTGGTACAATGGAATATCAAGTTCTATCCCATATAATTATTTGTTGGTTTTATAACATCAGATTTTTTTGGTGTTCATCTAATAATTAAAAAATTAAAACATGGAACATCTGTTTTTTCATGTGCTTTCTTATTCTTTTCACTTCATATATCAAAATATGAATGGCATAATTTACTTATACTTTACTTCTTTTTCCATGGTCAGGATTCTAATCCTGCCTCTCATGATTGGCACAGGTTGTATGACAGAAAACTGAATATACAAAAAAAATTTAACAAGTAATTGCACTGACTTATGGACTACCTAGAGAAATGATATGGAGTCTGTGTATGGGAAACGGCCTATTACCCCCTGGATACAGTATATTAAATGACAAATATTGGCACTGGAAAATGGCAAAAAAGCAAAAACTGCTTATACAGAAATAGATAAAAATGATAACATTAGAAAACAACTTCTCAATTCAAAAGAGAGAGAGAGAGAGAGAGAGAGAGAGAGAGAGAGAGAGAGAGAGAGAGAGAGAGAGAGAGAGAGAGAGAGAGAGAGAGAGAGAGAGAGAGAGAGAGAGAGAGAGAGAGAGAGAGAGAGAGAGAGAGAGAGAGAGAGAGAGGTGTGTGTGTGTGTGTGTGTGTGTGTGTGTGTGTGTGTGTGTGTGTGTGTGTGTGTGTGTGTGTGTGTGTGTGTGTGTGTGTGTGTGTGTGTGTGTGTGTGTGTGTGTGTGTGTGTGTGTGTGTGTGTGTGTGTGTGTGTGTACGCGCGCTGCCTATATTCACACACACACATATTTTTGTATCTATATATTTATATATTCATATATATTAATATACTTATCTATCTATCTAATATATATAAAATCACTCCTATTTTCTCATCAATTACATTTAGACTGGTATTTGCTCCTCCTCCTCAACATCATCATTAGAAATGAAACACTAACCTTTTATAGGTTCTTAACCGATTATTGTGTAAAAGTTTCTTTACTGTTATTATCACAGTATATTTCCTCCACACTTTTTCTTTGGCTTTTGTATGCAGTCTTCATATAATTTTGGTACAATGGAATATCAAGTTCTATCCCATATAATTATTTGTTGGTTTTATAACATCAGATTTTTTTGGTGTTCATCTAATAATTAAAAAATTAAAACATGGAACATCTGTTTTTTCATGTGCTTTCTTATTCTTTTCACTTCATATATCAAAATATGAATGGCATAATTTACTTATACTTTACTTCTTTTTCCATGGTCAGGATTCTAATCCTGCCTCTCATGATTGGCACAGGTTGTATGACAGAAAACTGAATATACAAAAAAAAATTTAACAAGTAATTGCACTGACTTATGGACTACCTAGAGAAATGATATGGAGTCTGTGTATGGGAAACGGCCTATTACCCCCTGGATACAGTATATTAAATGACAAATATTGGCACTGGAAAATGGCAAAAAAGCAAAAACTGCTTATACAGAAATAGATAAAAATGATAACATTAGAAAACAACTTCTCAATTCAATGTCTAATCTAATAGATAGGGGATTCAATGGACAAAGAGAATGCAGTATATCAATCTAAAAAAAAAATAATAATAATAAAATAATAATAATAATAATAATAATTATTAATAAAAAATAATAATAAAATAATAATAATAATAATAATAATAATTAATTATATTATTATTATAATTATAATAACAATAATAATAATAAAGACACACCAGATACCACACCATGCACTTTTTATGAACTTAACTGACATATTAGGATAACCATATCTAATAATACAAGTCTTGGCCTGGTCAGCTACTCAGTTAATTCATCTGTGAGTGAGTCAAAGAAATCTGCTACTCTACCACATTGACCTGGAGCTAAGAATGTATGTTCTTCTACAAACATATAACGATAACCATATCTAATAATACAAGTCTTGGCCTGGTCAGCTGCTCTCGGTCAACCCATCTGTGAGTACTGGCTTCATGCTAGGGTTAAAGCAACCTGCTACTCTACCACATCATCCTGCAGCTTAGAATGTATGTTCCTCTACAACCATGCCACAGCTGTTCAGCAAGATGAACTATCCGTAAGAGGGCGGAAATGAACTGGTCTCTCTACTACAGTCTTCTATGGCTTTGAATACAGGTTTCTCTACAAAACATGCCAGGGCTCCTCAGCAAGATGAACTATTCATAATACAATAAACTTGAGAGTGAATTTTTAGGTACCTCATCTTTACACCTAAGCTACTGTCCAGCTGATGCCTAGGCTCCTGAGGTATCATTACAGTTACTAAGACCAATGCTTAGATGTCACCTGGTGTCACTGAAATTTTTGCTATGACATGAAAAGATCTGGTATGAATGAATTAAACAAACTTCACTGACTTATACTATTTCACTTCCAACTGCTCATAAATCACACCAATACATAAGCAAATACATAAGACCAGTGCCTCAGAAAAGTCTGAAGCTTGGGATTCTTTCCCCTCTATCTTCAAATACTGAATAAAGACTACATAAAACCCTAAGCTACTATGCTGCACTTTGTAGCAGAAATTTGCAATACCAGACCTTGATGTAACTTGATTGTAATGTACAGTTTAAACTAGCTGGAGAGATAACAGGAGCCTGCTTAACAAATATAGTCTATTAACATCTTGATACAGTGTAACAAATCTAGACCTCAGAAAGTAGCAAAAACGTTTCTGCAGAAAAGGGCTAATGGCATCATAATGCAAAAATGCTTCTGCAGAAAAGATGGCAAGGAATCTTAACATTACATATGAAAATTTATGTCAGCCAGACCTACAAGCTACAAGCCACGCACCTGTGAGAGTGCCTAATTCCCGGATTTAGTCTATGAGTGTGCCTCTAGGCAACCAGATCCAACAGGATAAACAGATTTTATACTGATACAAGTGATAAACAGGTGCAATTTAACCCCACAAAATAACAAAATAGATGATGCATAAATATCTACCTGAAGGTCTTCCTGCATGATACCTGCCAGCTTGTCACATTTATCCTGACTCAAGCGGTCTAGGACTGCTCTCATAGCTCCTGCCGCTGCCTCTACAAGCTGGTTATCTGAAGGCAAACAAAAACAATAATAAAAAATAAAAAGAATAGAACAATCTTATTTTCAGAAACTAATTAGCTCAATGTCTTAAAAAGATGAATTACCAATTCTCTCTGCCTATCTTTCTACCTAAATCTCCTAGTCTCTATTTTTTTGTGACAGCAGTAATTTTTTTCAACTCTGATGCTACTGTTCAACAATTACGCTATAAGCACAAGATACAAAATCTGGAGTGCAAATTTTACCTCTACAACCATCAAATATTAAAAGTGCCCTAGGTGAAAGATGAATACTTCTTGCATTTTCAAGCTAAGCAGCCAGACAAGATCAGGAAATCACCGTCTTTTAGAAACAAATACCATTATTTTCTAAATACTGTCCCAATACTCACCACCACAGTTGGTCTTGAAGGCTATGATGCCTAAATTGACCCAAGTGGAGTACATCAACTCTGATCCTCCTAACTCAGAATGGTCTAGTGACCCAACCATATTCTGGAGACTAAGTAAAGCTCGTACTCTTAATGCAGACAATCTGAAAATTAAGGGGTTTAATAAATTAATAGTTCAAGAACTTTACAATAAAAGTATACATACATACATTTTTTTTTCAATTTGTGTTCTGAAAGTAGTTACAAATAGGAAGGAAAGGAAGGGTAAATCCTCAAAAGCATATTGGCACCATTCATGCTAACCACACTCACTTGTTAAGTAGTGATGGTCCATATTTCAAGTTCTGAAGGGCTTGGCATGTATCTTCTTCTGGGTAGTTTGCTTTCTTCAGTGTTTTTTTAAACAACTGAAAATGTTTTATACCTTCTAAAACCTGAAACAAAATATATATTATAAGAAAAAATGACTCCTTGGAAAAATCCTGAGGGTTATCGAGATTGCATGGACATATTTATTCTTTTTCTTAACAGCTAATATTTCTTTCTTCTCTAATCCAAGTTCTGTTCATGTAAAATGTAATCAAGATTTAATATTCATCTATTCTTATAAAAAAAAAAAAAAAAATAGTCTTGAGGAATAAAGATTTTCAATACCTCTGGTGGCAGTGAAAGTCTGTCTTCTAATTCCATAGTATCATCTTCCATACCATTCTCTGCTCCATCTACTGATTCACTTTCACATTCATCCCAACTGTCATCATCATCTGTTGAGGAAAGTCCAGTAGTTCAGTAAGTAAATATCAAAATTAGGGTACTCAAACTCTTATAAATCAACTAGCTATAGACTCTCTTGAACTTAGACAAATAATTTTCTTAGCCGTGAGTGTAACTTCAATTGCCAATTTCTCAAGCTTTAAAACTATAATTGCTAGCAAGAACAAACAAATATTGGAATCTAAATTAATACAAACCAGTCTAAAATTAACATATCCAATGAATTTTTTTTTTTTTTCATTTTCTTACCATCAGAGCAGCAGATATTTGAGAGAATTTCTAATGCTAATTGCTGGGCTGTTATAAGGTGCTCTTGATCTTGGGGTGTCATGGATGGCTTGATACCATTGTCAGCATTGGCACTCTGGCAATATTCCACTACCAGATTAACTGTATCCGTTTCTAATACTGTAGAAAGTAGCCGGAGGACTAGTTGAAAGTTGTCACCACCAGTTGTGCAGTAATTAATGTTCAAAAGCAATCCTGGAATAATAATGAGCTTTAATACTTTTGAGTCAGATAATAGTACACAATTAAAGAAATTTTGTCTCTACCCAGGTATGTCATCACTCTGTTCTGAAGCAATATCTATTTATCAAAATAAATGTGCTCACATATATAAAATATAGATCATACACAAGATTACAAAATTTTATAAGAGAACAGAAAAAGGGAAAACTGATATTCAAAATAAGAAAACTTTTTATATATACATACCGGCAATAGTTATTGCAAATCGAATATCCACAGCCGAATCAGTCGGTCTGGAGATATAAGACACCAAGGAGTCTGCCGCTGGAAGGAGTACCGATGCTGCATTTGAGTTGTTCTCTGAGACACAAAGAAGGCACTCTGCAGCAGCCAGAGCTAGATTGTTTCCCCAAGTTGTTGGGTCCAGGTGAAGGAGGAGAATATGGACCAATCCATCATGATTGAAGGTTTTCATAGCCTCTTCATTGCACTCACTTAGGAGGAAAATGTAAAAGTATGATTTTATTATTCACATTACTAATATACAAATACTTAGCTGATGTGAAATCACTCAAAAAAATAAATTAAGAAACAATTCAAAAATTGATATTTATACAATTATCTAGCACATCCAACTGAAGCTTTGTAAGTAGTTATAAAAACACACTGACAAGAACTAACTCATATTCTCCTATTCCGTATGACAGCATTTCATTATTTCTGTAATACGTAACATATATATTATCATGCTTCATTATGTCTGTAATATGTAACACAGATATATTATCAAAATCTTTAACTTTTTAAAGGTATAATAGACACTTATAAACAGACAACCCACCAGAGATTCCACAAAAGATGAGTAGCTTGAATAAAGACTTCAGTCTGTGGATCTTTGCGACCCGTTTGCAAAGCGTCTTGCTCTTTCTGTGCTGGGGTCCAGGGTTCCCTATAGTCCTGGAGCAGTTTTGAGAGCGGTGATAACACATCCTGTTGGACCATTGCCTCTACAACCTCATCAGTGCCTCCAGCACTAATGTTCCTGGAATTGTCATGAAAGGGAAAGTGTCAGACCTGGCAAAGAGCTTAGCTTTTAGGCCCAGCCAACACATATGCAGTATCAAGAATCCTTTCCTCCCCTTTGCAATGCCATTATATCTTTTTCTGCATAAGCATTTTTATTTATTTTTTGACATTTTTTCAATATCTACATCATTTGATTTGCTGTACCAAGATGGTAAGACTCCATATCATCTTCCTAGGTAGTCTACAACTATGTACAAAAACAATGAGAATAAGTAATTCTGTGGTATTTGTGTTCTTTTTAAAATAGTTTTTGTATTATTTAATTGTTTGCAACACAACTTGCCCCCCCTAGTCACAGAGGGCAGGAATAGGATCATAAGCAAGGAAATAGTGTCCTCCCTGGTGCTGGCACTCTTCCAGCCATAGTACATCACGGTACAATGAACTGTAGTTTACTGATGAAAATAATTCAAGAAACCATTTCTAAATGACCTGTGAGTCTAATCTACCTCCAAGAGGTTTGCACAGTCATGGCAAGTAATTCCCATCACCTAAGCCTTCAGCCAAATTTTTCATGATAGCACTCCCATTTCCCCGGCCCTTAGCCAAATTTGTTTATGATGTGACAATCACCCAGATCCAATGGGTTAAATTTAAACTTAGAAAATATAGACTATGAATTTAAATATCCATACATGGTGTATTTCCTTCAGTTTATTTACCTGTCTCTCCAAGTCCCTTCAACACACAAGGTTTAACTCACCTCAAAGCTCCTGCTGCTGCTAGTCTGACATCAACACTGCCGTCTTTTAGTAATGGCGCTACCTTCTCCACCATCATATCTTTCACAATAATAGTCAAACTTTCTTCATCCAATGCAAGAGCTGCCAGAGTGTTCAGGCCATCTACTCTGTCTTCAACAATTACACTAGACAGCTGCAAAAAGAAACAATTCATGACATTCCATAAATTCAATAAATTCAGTGTTCTTAGAAATTAATTCGATGACACCTGTAAAAATGCATATCAATAATGGAGGTAAGTTTGTATTACCAGAATGGTTATTGGTGCTTCATACTGAAGTGAGCTAAGCAATATCCACATGAAATCATGAAAACAGCCACAGAATTTGGGTGACCACTGTATGTTGCTGCTTGGAATCAAAGCCAAAATAGAAATAAGGCAAGTAATGTGCCCTGAAAAAAAAAAATCAGGAAATATAATTTTGTTTAAAAGAGAGATTGTGTTGAAAGGGCTGTCTGAGGGCTTGCTCTCAATATGGAAATTTCCTTGAGGAAGGCAAATACACCAGGGGATGGGGTCCACAGCCTTTCCCTTGGTACAAAGTTAGGAATGTGGGTATAAGAGGAAAACATAAAATAAATGCTCAGTTTAACAAATTTTTCTGAATACCTTCACATAACTGGTCACAGCAATTTTGGTATTGATGGATTCCTCTCACTCTCTACAATCCAAATATAACAAAATTATGCCAAGGACCCTTGCACAATGAACTCTGTTGTAATCTCAGTACAAAATCAATCACTATATTGTCTGATGCAGAGGACTATACCCCCTGCAAACCAGCATCAGGCGCTCCCACATGTTAGTCATGCACTCTACCCTGCCTTGGGTAGTGTGAGAATGCAATACTGCACATACCTGACCAGAACTCCCATAAGATTAGTCAATAGCCATTGCATTGCATTACTGTATATATAATCACTTCAAAATAATATATATTGAATCCGACTCTATATTATCTAATACAAAAGGCTGCTCACCCCTGCATGGTATTCATATAACCATCATGCAGTAAGTGCCAGATACTGAGTCAGTCCAACACACTATCCTGCCATATATATGTGTGTAGGATTTTTGGCGTTTCATGGCAGGGGTTAGTATATGGCAGCAACCATTGAGGCTCACAGGTGGGAGTAGCCCTATGCATTCTACAGTATCGTTAGTTTCCCTTTTAACTTTCATGACCTCCCTTGCTATTAGAGCCAAGAATAATGGGAGTTTGAAGGGGTTCCACAACATAATTCCTTAATATATCTGTATTAGAAGGTGAGAAGAATCCATCGATAGCAAAATTGTTACGATCTGCTATGCAAAGGTATTGTGAACAATTACATCGATACAGAAAGAAATGGACACAGCTATCTTATGACGCAGAAGATACAGAGTAATAAACAAGACAAGTACAGTTGCTGCAGCCTCATTTTCTGCAAAATGATGAAAATCTCTGCTGCATAACACCACTCAGACACTAAGTCCACAACACACAAACCTTGTTCCACAACGGCCTCGCATGACCAGAGTTCCT